TCATCAAATGCAGATCTCCTGATGACTTCTCTATGCAGCAGCTTCCAGATAAATGCAATGTAATATAGCAAACTTTGAGACATTGTAAATGCAACTCCTAAAGTTTATAAGTGAAAACAGGCATCTCTTATTTCTAGACTAAGAACTTTTTGTAGTTTTGAGATGTGCTTGTTTTGTTTTTTATTTTGGAAACATGATACTGTGACAACACTAAACACAAATGTTTACACACATCTCTGATTTAAGATAAACTTCTAGAAGTGAATTACTACATTAAACAGTATTTTAAATTAGTAGCTTAACTTATAAACATCAAAGAAGTTTCTTGTCAATAGAACATTCTATAAATGTATATGATTATAATTTCTTGTTGTTGTTTTTTTTTTCTTCTCTTTTTCATATCCCCATTTTTAAGGACTGTAATTTTCATTTGGAGAGCACACTTTTAATGAAAGAGGAGCTTTTCTGAGGATATTGTATTAATATTTGCAATCATCAATTAAGCGGCAAAGTGTCTTTCCTTTTTGCTGATTCTTTTTCTGAGAGGGAAAGAGTGTGGTGCATAGAAGAGGAAGTACCACTTGGCTAGGCAATGGACTTGTGCTCCTGGACAAGAATCAGCTAATGTGGAAGGCTGGGAATGAGGAGGAAGAATGATCCATGCCAGCCTCATTCATCAGTCATGCAATCTGCCCAACTGCAAGGGAACAGCAACTCACCCAGAACTCTGTACGGGGGCTGCCCTCACCAGCATGCCACATCACAGTTTCCATTGACTGGTTCATGTATCAACATTTGGGTTAATTAGTCACAATATTCAGGAACTAAGGGTATAAGCCAGAGGCATGCCCATTCCCATGGAGAGACTGCTGCTCAGAGGAGAGAGGTTCAGGGGTTTACCCCATGCAGCTGGCTGGCTCCAGGATGATTGTCAGGGGACTGGAGTGATTCAGCCATAGAACAGCAGGCAGTAATTTCACTGCCGCTTTTTATCTGTCTCTCTCTCCATTGAATGCTGCTGGCTGTTAGCAGAGGCCTGAATGGGAAGGCGGGAGAGAACAAATGGGGTAGATGGGAAAGCACTTTGAATAATTCCCTTAGTTGAATTCAGATGAACCTCTTCTTAAGAACCTTGGTGACTGCCCAGGCCCAGCTGGCAGACTGGTTTTAATTGAAACACAAAAGCTTTTGGAAAACTTGGGACCAGAAATATAGGTACACCCCATCTCCACCTCTCTCTTTTCATTGAGGACTTCTTGATCCATTTATTCTTTTTCTTCAGAGTGGATTTGAGGGCAAGGCAGTATATATTAGTAAATGCCAGAACTACCATCTTCTCTGTTAACTCTCAAAACAGTGGTTAAATGTTGGTGCATTTTCACAAAAGCCATTATTTCGAAGATTTATCTATTCAACGAATAAGTTTTTAGAATGCAACAGTGGTCCAGGAGGTGTTGCTCAGTCATTGAGCATCGACTTATGAACCAGGAGGTTATGGTTCAATTTCTGGTCAGGGCACATGCCTGGGTTTCAAGCTTGATCCCTAGTGAGGTGCATGCAAGAAGCAGCCAATCAATGATTCTCTCTCATCCTTGATGTTTCTATTTTTCTCTTCCTCCCTCTTCTTCTCTGAAATCAATAAAAATATGTTTTTAAAAATAAAAAACACAACAGTGATCTACCTCTTTCTCTAAAGGTTCCTAATGCATTCCTTCTTCTCTGTTAACAAAAAGAGCCTTTTTACAAATCTAGCCAGAGAACCAGAAGAAAAATTTTAAAGTTATCCAGGTTGACTCTCAATAGGAGATTGGGTCTCTCATGTCCAGTGACTAGCCAGCTGCTCATTGAGTGAAGAGCAATCCCTCCCTTCCAGAACAGCCTATTCCCAATTTGGACAGTTCTGTCTCATCATCCTATACCTAAGCCACACTTTGTATAGCTAGACTTTCCATTTTAATTGTTTTAGCCACAGAGTATGAACTTGCTTTTATCTACATTGCATTTCTTAATACATTGTGGACTTCCTTGGTGTTCTTGCTGAATCTTCCCATTAGAGTTTAAATATTCTCAGTAAGGTTGTTTGTCTGTTATTTCATTCATCAAATATTTATTTAACAATACTATGTGCCAAACAAGGCACCACAAAACAAATATGAACACAGTTCCTGCTTTCTGGAAGCTCAGTTTGGAGGAAAGATAGAATCATAAACATATAACTTCAAAATGACACAGTGCATTGCATAAATAGCATAGAAATCTATAAAAACTCAAAAGAGGAATTACTCAGAAAAGAAGAGCTGGGGTGATATTTAATATTTTCTAGAACAGATGCCTTCTGAGCATTTCTTAGAAAATGAGAAGAAATGGACCAGACAAGGGGAAGTTGGGAAGTTTCTGGTAGAGGAAGCATCATGAGTAAAGACCCAGAGAGAAATTATAGTATGGAATAGGGAAGAAAGAGCCAGCAGTTCAGTGTTCCTGTGGGTCAATGTGTAAAACTAGGAATAAGGAAAATAGATTAAGAGCTAGATGTTGACTACTTTTGTCAAATGACAAGTTTGAGCACTCTCTTCCAAAATATTGATATTGTTAGGAGAAAGCATTTGCATATCTCCCCAAATCTACCTCTTTTCCCTATCCCCATTAATGAAGAAATTATTATCCTTGAATTGCCAATTCTAGTAAGACCAATATACTCCAGTCAATGTTCTTGGAGCTAGACCCAAATTATATTGAAGATACTTACCTTTCTTTCCAAAATCCCTAGATCTTAGATAAACTGCCTTATAAATCACCTAAATGCTATCTTGGTGGCTATACACATGACAGTGTGGTTGATCACCAGATGCCAGATTATCACTGCCTTTTCTGCTTTGTATTGAATTCCATGAAGGCAAAAGTCATCCCATCCTAATCCCTGTCTTTAACTTCAAGAGGTCACATAGCAGCAGCCATCCAATATCAGTAAATACGTAAAACCAAAAATGAATTTATATACATTCTGCTCTGGAAATCTCATGAGAAAGACTCATCCAATCTGACTCTCCTTCCTTTCTTTGTTACAGCCTTACTGTCTGTTCTTCAGGCCTGGCATCCCCTTTCTCGGAGTTTTGCATATGTTCTTCTATCTGCTGGAACTTTCTCTCCTTCTCCCTAGCTCTCATACTGACCCCCTTAAAAGTAACTAACTGCTATTTTCCTTCAGGAAAAGTCCCTATGCTTGGTTCTCCTGTTACTCAGTCCTGTGCTCTGTACTTCCCTCTCATGTGCCTCATCAATTAACATGTTCACTGCTGTAGTGCCATGTCCTCATCTAGTGCCAGGCATAGAAATGGTGTTTAATAAAGAGTAGTTAAATTCATGATTACATGACTGCTACCAGTAATATCTCTGTTCAGTGAACATAGGAATTTTTCAAAAGAACAAACAAAATTTGATAGGTGTTAGAAGTAAAAAGTTATGGGATTTTTGTTACTGTGGTTAATTATTAATTTAAACTTCTCAATGTAAATGTGCAATTCTGAACACAACCCTCTGAAATTTAGATTTTTATTAATTCAATCCATAAAATTTGCTAAACATTACATTGATGTCTGCCATGGTACACTGTCAATTTATAGCTGACCTTATCTTAACATTGAACTTTTTTGACTAATTGCATGCCCTAATTAACTTTTGTGCATTAACTACTTAGTTCTTAGTCCTTATCTCTTTTTACCCAAGAGCAGAATTTAATCAAATGATTATAAATTTATTAAGCTCTCTTTGTCATAAGAGTATATAGAGAAATTAAATATCCAGTGACAAGGGACTATATAGATAAATCGTGGTATATGACCTTGATGAAATATTGTTTAGTAATTTAAAATGAGTAATTATAAAAATAATAATAAAATAAAATGGGTAATTATGAAGACTACCTAGTTGTATGGAAATAATTTAAAATATAATTCAAATTAGGGAAAAAATCTGAATGCAATATGGAAATGCAATATAGCAATGGAGATAAATATTAAGAAATATGTAAATTAGAAATATATAAATTAAGAATAGCCTACATAATAAAGAGCTAATATGTTAATTAGACCAGATGTTGGAAGGACCTTCTAAAATGATCTTCCACATGACCAGTTGGCGGGCGCCATGGGGCTGTGAGGGCCAAGCCCCTTGCAGAATTTCGTGCATTTAGGCCCCTACTATAAAATAAGAAATGTCAAATAAGAAAAATGTAAAATAAGAAACAAGTAAAATAGAAATATATTTAATATATTAAGAAATACATTAAGTAAGATTTGTGAATTTCAGGGAGACTTTGTCATACAAATTTCAAAGGGTTATATGTACACTTAAGATGAAAGCTTTATTAGAATATAAACTATTCAAATTTACCTGCTTCAGAATTAATGCATTCCTTTTTTATATCTACTGCAAATAAAAACCTGCCTATAACTACAAGGTATATTACATTTATTACGACTATGGTAGGGACTCTGACTTCAGAAGTCCAAGTTTCTTGGTACATAGGAACACAGTTATTTTATGGGTAAACATGTCAGAGCAACAATACTGACAATAATGAAATGTAAATACCACAAATTCACTATACTACCAAATCAAATATTTTTATATAACTCCTTTCTTCTATTCTTTGTTCACATTTATAATTAGAACAATTGACAGTAATAATTTTTGTACTTTCTATATTCCTCAATTTGTAAGCTTTTATTTTCTACTTTAAAAATGATCATTTTAATTGCTCCATAAAGGAAACATTTCTTAAAGGCAAAAATATATGGCCCTTGAATGCTTGCAATGCAGAGACAAACCTGAGTATTTTTCCTGACCTTCCTTTGTCTGCTGATGGTGCACTTTATAGCCTTGCACACAAGGCTGTTATCACCTGATTTCCATTTAAGTAGTAAGATGATAACACAGAGTGCAAGGGGGACTAGGTGTGGGTGACAGCTACATCATTTAATATCTACTTATTGTTTCTACAGGGGAATTCTGGCCTGGGATTCAGTATTGCCGGAGGGACAGATAATCCCCATATTGGAGATGACCCTGGCATATTTATTACGAAGATTATACCTGGAGGTGCTGCAGCAGAGGATGGCAGACTCAGGTAAAGAACTGAAATGTTAGAATTATTTGGAACGTAAATATGCCATATCAGTGAGCTACATTTGTCCCTTTGGAGAATAGTAAGTCTACAAAAGTTCTGTACTTCAAAGAGAAGGCTGTTAAAGTAAGCTTTCTGAAACAACTTTGCAGATCTCTCATTATTAATTGAATTTCAAGTAGTATTTAATTTGCGTATGGCTACCTATTCAGTAGTGGTCCAGGCACCGTGACAAGAGGGTGCAGATATGTCTTTTGCTCCATGGAGTCTTCAGTGTGGTTGGACAGAAGAATCCTATGAGCTGATGAGAAAATAATAAAATGTATAGAAAAATAATATATTTTAAGTAATATTAGCAGATAATGCAATGTTATAGATACTCTGTACATTTATAGATTCAGAAGCTATTTATAAGGTCTTTGGTAGGAGTTTGGACAGCATCTATAAAACTGTTGCAAAGGAATATTCCCTTCTGCGTCTTAAAAAAATAATTAAGCCCAGCCAATGTGACTCAGTGGTTAAGTGTCAACCTATGAAACAGGAGGTCATGGTTGATTCCTGGTCAGCACACATGCCTGGGTTGTTGGCTGCATCCCCAGGAGGAGGTATGTAGAAGGCAGTTGATAAATGATTTTCTCTCATCATTGATGTTTCTCTCTCTCTTTCCCTCTTCCTTCCTCTCTGAAATTAATTATGTATATGTAAATGTATATGTACAGTAAAGTTTCACTAACCCCACAAATGTGGATGAGAACAGAGGGAGAAAGAGCAAGTTGTCCCAACAAAGAGGGAGACAAAGCAAAGTTGGCTTGGATGATGGCCACAAGGTGAGATTAAGTAGTTGGATGGAGTGAAGCCAGATGCTGCTCAGGTGAGAGTAGTAGCTGCTTGAGTCAGGGTCCCTCTCTTTGAAGAACTGAAGATTATTTGGGGAATGAAGTGTTACCCAGATAGGACAATTGGTAAATAAAATAAAATTCTATCTGAGGTCAAAACACTAGCAACAAGAGATTGTGAATTGGAGACAATTAGGAGACATTTCCTTGGGAAGAAAATAATGTCCTCATGTTATTTTAGCACCGCTACCAGATTGTAAATCCTCTCAGACCAGGCAGTTATATATAAAAGTGGATCAATAAATTCTTGCTGAAAGAATGAGTTTTTGAATGAGTGAATGAATGAAAGAACTGAGAAGAGGAAGGAGGAATGGTAAATTAATGAGGGGAGGGTAAAGTACAATCTAAGTCCTTTTAAGTATAACTTTAGCTTGCATGGAGCCACTGTGAGGACAATGACCCAAATAGCAGCAATGTAAGCTTTGTTGGCCTTACTCAGGCTGTTGGCCTTCCTCCATTTAGCATAAGTGAGCGCACTTACTGTTTTCCTTAGAAGGCAGCTAAGGACACTTTTGTACTCTACTCAATTCTTCTGATGAACTGATTACTTTTGACAGCTGCATCTTTGCAGCTTGTGGAAGAGAATTACAATTTTCTCCCCCAGGTAAATACATCTGCATCTTCTCTCAACAAGAAAAGAAATGAGTGACTCTCAGGAAACACGTGCTTTTTGACAATAGGATTTTCAAGCTGATTTGAGGACATTAATTACTGAGAGAGGAAATATCTGTGCTCCAGAGTGAACAATTTGAAATAGATGCTGTGTCATTCTGTGAGCCATGATGGGGATTGGATTTGCTAATACTGGATGCCGGATAAGCTCCATTACAAAGGTTTAGGAATAGAGCTGTTAGAGGATCATTCAGAAATCGATGGGCCACAATCATGAATTTTTACTCTATGTTACGTGCTTTGCCTACAGTTAAGAATGAAAAGTGGCATCTCTGAGAGTGCCACCATTCTTTGCCTGCGAGCATTGGTGACCACAGTATGCCCACAGAGATAAAAGGAAGTTCTGCTATTCTGGAAGCAGCATTCTATAGTTGTAGAGAGAATACACATGATGATAGCCTATATTTATTCAGCTTTTTCACATGTGGGGCATTGTGCTAAGATAGATAGATAGATGATAAATAGATATTAGATGTAAATAAAATATAGATAAACACAGATACACACGCATCTATACTGACAAAAGTATGTACTATTATTGTGGCTATTATAATATGGACTCAGGAAATTTAAGCTTAAAGACTTTTAGAAGATTATTCAGCCAGCTTTGCATACATACAAAAACTAGTCCCAGATGTCACTTATGTACTATATTCTCTGATCTCTCATTTAATAATAGAATCCTCTATATCACTTGGTCTCTGCCTAAAAACTCCCAAAGGTAAACTTTTCACAATGTTAAGGGAAAACTCTAATCAGTATAAAATTTGTTATTTTTCTATCGAGCCACAATTTTCTTCCTTGTGACCTCTATTCATTGGTCTTTGTATTGGCTCAATAAATTTTAGCAATATTTCTCTTATCTCCATCTCTATCTCGCAGTAGACTTTTTTCTCCTCTTGCCTCAGTGTCTTCCTCTTTTTCTCTATGATGTTCTAGTTGCTTCCATCTTATTCTTTCTAACTTTCTTTCAGGTTCTTTTCATCCTCTATCTCTTTCCCTCAGCTTCCCTTTCCTATCTGTTTACATCTCTTTTTCTCTTGGTCATAATATGGGATTAAAGCACATTTAAAAATTGATATGATACTAAAAATGTTTCTAAGTTTTTATTCCCAAGTTTCTACAGACAACTGAATCTTCAGTGTTTCCCTCATTTTAAAAAAGTAAATACACAAAGCCTAGGGTTTATTTGATTTTTACTTGACTAGTTCTTTGGTCTTTCCTGTGGGTTACAAACTTTTAAAACTTTTAAATGTATCCTTTCCATTATAAATTACATTTTTTATAGTTAAATAATATTAAAAATTGCAGATAAACTAAAGCCCAGAAAAGTGAGAAGATGGGTTACTTCAATGTAGAGTAGTAATCTGGACTCTACATTAGTCAAAATATAATAGATCAATAATAATAATAGCCAAGACCAATGTAGTGCTTCAATGTACCAAATACTTTTCTGACATTAACTAATTTAAAATCTATAATAATTCCATTAGACTATACTTTCATTATTCCCATTTTTTGGATAAGATCATTGAGGAACTGAAAAACTAAGTAACTTGCTTGTAAATGTTGGAGCCAGAATTTAGACCCAGGCAGTCTGGCTCTAATGATTTTGTCTTTAAGTTCTATCTTGTACTACAGACCCAGATGAGGTAAGAGGTGAGTTTCTCCCTAATTAGGTGAGGCTCCAAACTGAACTCAGCTCTGTCTCAGTGATTGCTCCAGAAAAGTGATGTGGGAGAAAGAGCATACTATTTAGAGTCAGAGGATCTGGGTTTCAAGTTATATTTTCTAGCTATGTGACCTTCTTTTTAAGCTCTCTTTCCTCAAGTTTCCTCCCTGGTAAATTGGAAATAGGAGCATATTTCTCTGGACGCTGAGGTAAGAATTAAATAAAATTATAGATATGAAGGAGTTGTGTAAAATTCATAGGCCGTCAACACAACTCAGTGTGCAGAATACTGAACTTGAGCCTCATGTCGATGACAGCTAGGAAGGTATCCTTATGATAGACAGAATTCTAAGATGATCCCCAGTGACCCACATCTTTTTCTCATTCCTTCCCTTTGAGTGTGGGCAGAGCCTTTGAGTATAATGGAATATCTCTTCTGTGGTAATATTACTTTATTTTGGAAAAGAGATTTCCCACAGATATAATTGAGGTCTCTAACCAGTTGATTTTGAATTAGTCAACAGGAAATTATCCTGTGTTGGCCCAGGTTAACCCAGTGAGAACTTTAAAAGCAAACAGATGGTCTTACTGGCCTGGATAAAGCAAACTTCCATGTTGTGAGAAAACCTATAGAAAGAGTCACATGAAAAATACCTGAGAGTAACCTGTAGAAGCTGATAGCAGTCCCCAGTCCTTTAGGAGCTGACAGCAGTCCACATCTGGCATGATGGGAGTTGGCAGTCATATAGCTGAATTCTACCAATAGCCATTTGAGCTCAGAGAAGGATTCTGAGCTCCCAAAAGAAATACACGCAGGTGAAGCTTTGACTGGAGCCTTGTGGGACCCAGAGTAGAGGACTTTAATAAGCTGTCCTCAGACTCCTGACCCACTGAAATGCTGCACTACTAAATATATATTGTTTTAGACATTAAATATGTGGTAATTTCTTACACAGAAATGAAAAACTAATATGGACACCATGAAATTCTGAACCCTGAATTCACTTATGGCTGGGCTGCAGATTGGTTTTCCCATTAAAGTTCTTGTCAGTACTACCATACTCTAAACCTCAGAAACACTGCTCAGGCCTTATGACTAGTCTCAGGCCCTTCACACACCTAGAAGCAAAAATAGTCAGAAAAAAAGAGAGGACCAAGGTCAGAAATAGGGAAGAAACCAGTACCCCCAGGGACAACAGACACAGGAACCAGTTGAGATGTGTTTTTACATGTGGTGGCTGAAGATGAGAGACTAAGCTGGCATAAGGGAGAGAGCCAGAGCCTAAGGAGAAATGGAAGATAAAAGCTAAGAGAGCATATGGTGGTTTGGATGAATTTCTCTGAAGTGGTCTTTTTCCCATGCAACCCTTTTTTTTTTTTTTTTTAAATATAACTCCTTGTGCATGTGTGTTTATGGATATAATAATTATTCTTGTAATATATGTATAAAATTCAGAAAAGTAGACAAACTACACAAAACTCAACACATTGATTTTTACACTAGAGTCAATGACTGTTAACATATTTTGTACATTTATTTCTGCTATTTGTTTTTGCTATTTTGCTTTTTATTTAGTTTAGCTTATGCTCTCATATTTAACATTTGTTTAATTTTTTATAAACTTATTTCATAAATCTTTCCCTATGTCATTAAAAAACTTTAAAAAATATTTAATTGCTATTTAATAATATATTTACTATTTATATTGTTAGGAATTTATGGTATTTTTATTTTCTTAACATCTACACTAATAAAAGAAAAT